GCCGGCCCCGGCGCTTCCCTCCGCGGCGAGAAACCCCCTGGGGCAGCCGCTTCCCGGCCCCTTTGCGCAGCTCCTGCTTTGGTCCCGAGTGCTGGCCGTAAATTATTACCCTCTGGGGGTTAGTGCTGGTTTCTTCCCCTGGAAACGTTTTCAAGTTTTCCCCGTGTCCCTGTTGCATCTGGGCCGGCCTTGCTTCCGCGCGGGACGTTCCTCTAAACGCAGTGGAGGAGGAGGAACTGGGGGAGTTGCAGCCACAGGTGGGGCAGCAGGAAGAGCCCAGCTTGGCCTGCCTGAGTCGCAGGGATCTTGGGACCTTTCCTACCTGCCCTTTCAACACGGTGTTCCTCGAATCCTTCTATTTCATCCTCCTTAGGAGCAGCGACGGCTTCAAGTGACGCTGACGCTGGCTCCAGGTACCGTCTCCCTCGAGCTCTCGTTTGGCCTCTGCGGCAGTGTTGGTCCTGCAGAGCAAATCCATGGACCGCAGGAGTTCCCCTCCGTCTTGACTTTTCCATCAATAGCCGTAACTTTTGAGGGCCGCGGGATAACATTGTTGCTCATTTCAATAGTGTTTCCTCCTCTTCCTAATCCTTAGCCAGCTCTGGCAACTCTCTTGCTCTTTAATTCTTTAAGGCAGATTAAATCACCATCCATCTCCTCAATCCCAGCAAAGAGGGCTCCGTTACTCTCCGAAAGAGCAGCCAGCGCTGCATTAGGGTGCTTGGTGTTTCCGGGCTGTTTTTCAACTCAAAAACAAGCCAGCCGAGCAGCGCTCTGGAAAATTGTGTCTTAGGAGCTTGTTTGTGCGTAAAGGGAAGTTGTCGTGTTTGTGGGCTAGGGTGGGAGGCTGAGTCAATGTTGACAAAAGGAAACATCTGCTTTATCAGGGAGATAACATCCTCTGGGGCTGCTGCGTGTCGGAATAGCTCACGCTCGCTGCTTGCAGTGGTCCCCGTGGTGTTGTGAAGTGCTGGATTCCTGACAACTTTGTTGTGCTGTTACACCCCAACACAGGGGCCAAAGAGGAGAGGATCCCTTTGGATTCTGCAGGCGGCCGCGGGCCAAAGCCCAGACGTTCAGCAGTGTTGGTGACCGGAGCGTGGCAGGACGGTGCCGTTGTCACTGGTGGCCCTCCGGCTCCCGCGTCCTTATTCCTGAACTGCCTCTTGAGGTTGAATGTTGCAAACCCCGACAACTCCCAGCGTGTTTTGGAGTTCAGCAAAGGCTGCAGCATCGCTCTGGCTCAGGAATGGTCTGACAAAGTTTCTGCCAAGCTCCTGCTGAGCTGCTCAGGCTGATACAGGCTCCTAGGGGCTGTTGCTGCAGTTACAAGCTGTGCACGGCCTCCTCGAGAGGCTGGGAAGGAGGAACGTGTCAGTTCAACTTTCCTCTTCCTTGCACCTGGAATAGGCATTAAAGGATGACAAGCATCTCTCCTGAGTTTTGGTTCAGAATTTGTTCCAGCAATATCCTGGTTGCTCTTTAAAAACTTTCACGTGCTGCAGGACTTTTCCCCATTAATTGGGAAGAAAAAACCCTCACCTGAAGTACGGATTAATCCAGTTTTGAGCTGGTTTTAGCAAAAGCGGTTAAGATTGCTTGTAGCTTTGAAACAATGAACAGCTTCGGTGCTGTTCCGGGAAGATTTGGGCAATCTTTGACCTCTCTATTTATTTCTCCCTTTTCCCAAGCAGAGCACTTCAAGATGCAGCGACCGCTCCCTGCAGGGCCCTGGGGAGTTCTTGGGGTTTCCAGCTCTTGCTGCAGGGAAGCCCTGCAGAGAAGGTGCAAGAAACAGCAGGTGCTTTGGAGCAACTGAGCAAATGCAGCTTCCCTGCTGCTTATTCGGGAGAAGCTGCATTTCAGCAGCAGTTTTTCCACCGAGTTACAACGTCCCTGTTTAGGGCAACCCAGGTTTCTCGTGACGAAACGCGATCTGTGCACGACCGGCCTAGTCCAAGCAGAAAGGAAAGACTTGCTGTGTTTTGCCAGGGAAAAATGTCCTGATAATGCTCTGCCTTGGATATTTTTGAGCCCTGCAACATACAGGGTCTTATTTTGTGTTTTTTATCTTCATTTTATTTGTTTTTTTTTGAGCTCCTGACAGTTTTTAATTCCTCATCGATGCTTTCCCTGCCGAGTCCCTGACGATGTCAGGTGTAACACTACCCAGTCGAGCTCCTGTTCATTTCCAATGCTGAGCATCAGCTTTCCATGGGCTGGAAAAGCACTTCAGTGGCATTTACATTCCCTTTTTTTTTTTTTTTTCCCCCCACACTGGAGGTGCTTGGCTGAAGGTTTAAACTCTAAACATGTATCAAGAATAACCGGAGCTGGACCCTGGCAGGGAAGAATGGGTGCGGGTTGAACACCATTTCCCAAGTTGATTTGACCCCAAAATGGGGCTCGTTGTACAAAGCCTTTAAAGCTATTCAAGTGACCTGGAGGGGCAAAAGAGAAATAGTGGCTTGCCCAGCGCTTGCAGCTGCAAATATTTAGAGAAATCTCAGGTGCCAAAGAGCAGAGTGAAGTCTGCAGAGGTCAGCACTGCGCTTGGAAAGGAAGAGTAAAATGCAATGGTTTTGCACCTGGTTTGGGGCCTAATGGGGGAGATGAGGAGCAAAACAGATGCACGGCGAGAGCGGAGCCTGCAAAAGCTTTTTGCTGTACACGAGCACGTCGCCTCCGTCTCAGGGGATGGACCGGAGCGGGATTAAGGCTTTTATTTTTGAGCGATTTGGACCAGACGTTGCCTGGTGTTGGCCAAGACCCTGCTAAGAAGCTGCCAGCCTGGCAGGAGCTGGAGTCAGGGGTTTAAATGGCTCTTTAAGGAGCTGCCTGCTCCATGGGACAGAGGCCGAGATGGGGCCGGGACCTGGATAAAACTTCCTTTAGGAGCCGCCTCCGCCGGGAGCGTCGCGCTGTTCGGATGCGACTGTCACCAGTGGGTGCTCCCCGAGATCCGGGCGAAGTTTGGAGGATCCTGCTTGGAATTTACCTCCTCCTTCCTCGTTGGTGCTTCTCTTAAAGATGGGCTCTGGCTTATGGGCCTGTTCTGTTTGAGGCCGAGCTGGAAGTATCTTTAAGCCCTTTATTTTAAGGCTTGAGGGAAGAAAAATATTAAAGTGACCAGAGTTACGTCTGAGAATATTTGAAATGTCGAGAAACCAAAGTGTTCGGCTCGGCAGCAGGGAAGGGTTTGGCCTGAGCAGTGCCAAGCTGGGAACCTGCTGAGCTGCAGCCTGGACTAATTACAGTCATTTAGGGGGCTGTCGAGACAAATGAACTGGAAGCATCAGCTGAACGATGGGCATCTAAAGGCGTCGCTGCTTGTGGATTTATATCCTGGCGCAGAACGCGAGGGTGATGCCCGCCCCGAGGCACGGGGCGCTTCCTGCTCCATCTCCGAACCCCCCGTGCTGGTTCTGCTGCCCAAGATGGATCCAAGGAAGAGGAATCCGAATCCGGTCCCAGCACGATCAGAGGAGGGAGAGGCTGCTCTGACAACTGCGAGTGGGAATAACGAATAACCCACCCCCAAACCCTCAATTCTGGCTCCTTTAATGTCATCCTTTTTGATGGCTTGAGCCCCTGTCATCCAAACATTGGTCCTACTAAGAAATATTGTAGCAGATGCCATAAGTTAGTAAGAACAGGTAATTAATTCTGATATTTATACTTTTAATGAAGTAGTTTCGCTTTCATTCCTTGTTTGCCTCGTTCCCAGGAGTCGGCTCTCTCCCGGGTTTAAGGATGCAGGAATGTGCCCAGGATGCTGTGTTGTCATCCTGGGGTTTTGCAAGAGGCTTGAGAAACTCTTTCAGGGAGGTTGTGCTTCCCAAAGAAAGCTTTTCCATGGTTTTAATGTATTAATTTGGGAAGACTTGGCATGCAACAGTGCAATTTGTGACAGCTTGAAGAAAGGCCTTGTGTTCCAGAAAGCTGCTCTTTTTCCCCTGCTGATTTGATAAACTAAAGCGTATCCCAGGATTTACCAGCTGGAATGTGCGCTGCCTTCGTGTTGGAAGGGAATGGGATCCTGTGTCCCCTGCGGAATCCAGACAGGCTTTCCTTCATTCCTGCGCCTTGGGAAACCCCGTCCCGCAGCTTCGAGGGAGCCTTTGGGGCCCCGGAGCCCTCAAGCTGATGCCTGGTCGGGCCAAACCCGTGAGCGCCCCGAGCTTTGGAAGCAAAATCCAGGCCGGAGTTTCGCATCCTGCACATGGGCAGGGCTGCCCCGTTGATCTGCAGGGGCTCGGCCAGCCCCATTCCGAGGGGCTCCGGGCTGTCCGCGCGCTGCAGCTTGTGCTCACCGGGCCGGGCGCTCGTCTCCAAACTCAACCCGTGCGTCTGTCTCCTCCATTTCTCAGAAACACTACCCTTGTGTTGTGGGAAATGCGAGAGAACAGAAGCTGTTAATCCATTAAAATATGCGTTGTGTGTTGCAGGGGGGGTGTGTACGGGTGTGCCAAGGTCCCGGGGTTGTCAGGTTGTAGCACTTGCCTCTGGGAACCGGTGTTGGTGGGAGAAGGAAACCAAGTCTCAGATGTTCCCGGTGCTGATTCACAGGCTGCTTAGCTGCCGCTTCAAGTCTAGACAGGCACCTTGGTTGAATTTGGCTGCAGTTCTTTAAGATCTGCTCTGCCGGCGGGGAGATACCGGTGCCGTTACCACAATGCCGGAGTAGGAGCTCATGGGAATGTGCCTGGTTTTCCACGGAGAATCAGAAACGTTGGTTTGAATCATCGTGCTCCGCGCTAAGGGAATGCCCACGGTGGGTTAAGGGGCTCTCCCTTTGCCGTCGCCGTGCCAGACTTAACGTCCTCCACTGCTTTACCTGGAGGTGCAGAGCAGGGTCCTTGTGCTCCTGAGCTCCTCTCTGCTGGCCCTGCCTTCCCCTGGTTATTTAAGAGTAATGTTTGTATCTTGCACAGCTGGGGAATGGTACCTAGAAGCAGATGGTGTTTATGTGCTTAGCTTTAGGGGCCCTTGGGCTGCAGCTGAATTGAGAGGTGATATACAGGCTGGTAGACAAGTCCTTGTCCCATTTATTTTTTTTAACCTGCCTTTTTTGTGCTTTTCAGGTGCTGGAGAGTCTGGTAAAAGCACCATCGTGAAGCAGATGAAGTAAGTGAAAGTGCAGCTGTCCCAACTGCCCTTTTTGGGCAACATAAAATAAGAAATCTGCGGGGTCCTTCGTCGTTCCCTTGGGAATGACGACTTGGGGGGGGTTTATTTCTAGGATTATTCACGAGGACGGCTATTCGGAGGAAGAATGCAAACAGTATAAAGTGGTTGTCTACAGCAATACTATCCAGTCCATTATTGCGATCATCCGGGCCATGGGAAGGCTAAAGATAGACTTTGGGGAAGTTGCCAGAGCTGTAAGTATTTCACTTGTTTCCCTTCCTCCAAGCCTGTGCTGTGAATTATGTTAATATATCCTAGAAATTCAGTTAGTCATCCTCATAGTGGAAATACCTTTCTGGAAAGATGTGGTAGTGGAAGACCTTTAATCTGTAACGTTTTACTAGGACACTGTGGATTATTTTACTGAGATTATAGATGAGGCATTTAGCAGCTTTGCTTTCCCCCAAATAAAAACGACTTAAGTCCAAGCTCTTTGAGTTTTTAACAAAATATTCAGTTTTTGTGTAATTTTCTTGGCCTCTGACGTCAGTGCTTGGAGGGATTCAAAGCCCTGATCTTTAAGCTGAGCCAATTAAATCTTGAATGGGAATTTACAGGAAGATATGGCCCTATACTAAGATTTCTGGGAAGAATCTCTCCTGCTCTAGGGCTAAAATACTCAAAGCCTGATCGGAGTCTATCCCATCTTACGGGGAAATGCCTTATTAAGAAATCACTGCCTCCTTTGGTGCTGATAGTTGTTGAAACAAAGCCCAATTTATCAAAGCTTTAAACCTGTGATAATCCCAATCTTGATTCCAAATGGAAACTTTCCTTGCTCCCACAGTGTACAACACTGTGCTGTAATAAAGCTTTTCCATTTAAAACTATTCTTTACACTATAGTTATTTCATTAATCCCTAATAAAGCATAGGCTTTCGTGCAAACTCCTGTGTTCCAGAGCAATTGTCACACGGGCGTTTTCACATTACTGAAACTTGCATTTCTGGTGCCGGCGCTGCCCGCTGCGCTGGGCCGTGCTGGGGAAACGGTGTCCGGCACTGCTGGGACGGGTGCTGGGGCTCAGCCCTGCTGTGCCGGGGTGGAAGCGCCGGTGGATCCTGACTTTCCCCTTGCTCCCGCAGGACGATGCCCGGCAGCTCTTCGTGCTGGCCGGGAGCGCCGAGGAGGGCGTCATGACCGCCGAGCTGGCCGGCGTCATTAAGCGCCTGTGGAGAGACGGAGGGGTCCAGGCCTGCTTCAGCAGATCCAGGGAATATCAGCTCAACGACTCGGCCTCATAGTAAGAAACCGTTAACAAACGCAGGAAGAAACCAGTAACAAATACATTAAGAAACCATAAAAACATGCCAGAGTTCACCAAGGCCCCGTACGCCAGGAAACAAGCCGGGTATTTCCCTGACAAAGGTGCTCCCCCAGAACGAGTCTGCTTTTTCACCAGGATGTGGTTCTCAATCACTTCGTGCTTCAGCTGACTAAGGTCCCTCTTACTGTTTCTCCTGCTTGCACCCTGGAAGGAGCGCATTCCTTATTTTGTCACTAGGCAGATCTGTTTTTAGTGGAAGTAGTTTCTCTGCGCTTGCAGTAAAACAAACCGTTACAGCAGAGGACAAGCTGCGTGGCCTCTGTTTATCCCTAGGAAGGAAGGGGTAGAACAGAGGGAAGTCGGACTCCTGAAACGGTGTCTAGTTAAAACACCAAATTTGCCAGGAGTTGCAATTTTTACTGGGGGAATCTCCTAATAGTGGCAAACTAATATTCACACAGTTTTTGCCGTAACAACTGCTGTAACAATTGGAAAATTATGGGAAGTGCTGTATAAAGAAACCACAAATGTGTCATGGCTCACTTATCTGCAGGTTCTCCCTGTACAGAGAGTGTTTTTAACCAGAAAATAAGAAAGAATTTCTCTAAAACTGTAGCAGATTGGCAGACTATCATGAGCCGAGATCAAGGTAAATGAGTTGACAGCAGGAGGCTTTCTCAGCCCCTTGGGTGTCTTTACACCGTGCAAGGAAGAAACTTCAGATTTTAAAGGAAAAAAGATGTGTGAGGAGGGGAAATGACTGAGAGAATGGACTTAAGGAAAAGGTGGTGGTGGAGAAGCAAGATTTAGGACTCCTCAAGCAAAAGATTGAAGGCAGAAAGCAGATATAGGAATGAGATAGGTGGGAGCCAGAGGAGGAAGCCCTGAGATGGAGGAAGCAACTTGGGTTGGTCTTGGTCTTGGTTAGCTTGGAGAGAGTCAGGACCAGGAGGAAGGCAGTCTGGAAGAAATGGGGCAGAAAGGGGTCAGTCTGTGGAGAAAGGGAGGAAATAAGTTTAGTGGGTGCCCGCTCCATCCTGCTGCCTTTCAAATACCGAATCCCAGACACTTTATTCCTTGTGTCCCAACACTGGTACCAATATGAGCAGACCCAGGTGCTGCAGAGAGCCGTTGTGGCAGACTGGTGTCAGACCGGCACGGCACAGCTCTCCTCTTGGCCACGACCTGCCTTATTTTCACCCGTTCCTCCCTCGCTTCCCGTGTCCGTGCTGAAAGGCTGCGGGTTGTACAGGCCTCCTCCCGGTGCCAGCTTTTTGCATGATTTTCCTAGGGCTGTTCCCCTTCCTGCCTCCTTTCGACTCCTCTCCCAAACAGGCCTGAAAGCCCCGTCTTGGCATCCCGTAGGTTTATGCCCCGTTCCAAACTGCTGCTTTTCCCAGCTGGAATTCAGCTGGGAAACGAGCATGGCAGCGAGCGCTGCTCCCCCTCCGCGTGGGACCGCGGGGCGATGGCGCGCGGAAAGGAGGTTCCGTGACCCACGCTGTGACCCACGCACGGCCCCGCGGCGGCCGAGAGCCACCTCCTGCCCTGCCTTGGCACTGCCCGAGCTCAGGGGACCGAGTGGTGACGCCCGTCGGGGTGACGAGTCCTGCGAGCTCCGCGCGCTTCCTCCCGCTTCCCAAGGAACCGAGTTTCCCGGTGGAGAAACGTGGCCGGTTCCCGGTGCTTGCGGGCGAGCAGGAAGCAGCCAGCTTCACGCTGCCGTCCCGGCTGTGCCACCGGCTGCCTGGTGTCACGTCCCAAACATCCGTATTTTCCTTGCACTGCTGCAGCTTCGCCCTCTTTAACTGCCCTTTGAGAAAAGGGCCCTCTGCCCCATCTCTAGCACGGTTCTCACGTTATTAGCTGCAAAGCACAAAAATAAAAAGATGTTTGGAAATGTAGGTAAGTAGATAATGCTCTTAAGTTATCTCACTTGCTGGTGTTGCTACTTATGCAGGGTTAATGCAGGCCTGCGGGTGCCGTGGGTGATCGCAGGCATTGGCACTTCCTGACAAACTGTTCTCTCTCCTGGCGCGTCTCGTCTCGCTCCCACGTGGCAGATTTGGCCCGATTCCCTGACACTCGTGATGCTGGGTGAAACAACACACAGAAATCTAGGTTTGGGTTTTTTTCTGCTCTCTGCTTTCAAGTAAAAGCTTGCAGGGCTTGGCCCTCTCGCTTGGATCCCGGTGCTTCCTTGGGTTTTCCCCTTTGAGTAGCATCAGCTTGAGATCCCAGCTGGAGGTTTTAGGTTCTCCTGGACCAAATGAGCATTCAAATGACCAAAGGTGACGCTCTGTGCTCCCTCTTCCTGGAGATGCTGCTCAAATACCTCCTTTTCAGGTTTGCTTAATGTCACCTGCCAAAATCCAGCTAGGCGTGAGGGGAAAGAGGACACAGGCTCCCGGGAAGGAAGCAGATCTCTTAATATTTAGATAGGAGCTTCCCCCGGGCTGCAGCTCTCTGCTTCTTGCCGCAGGAAGACTCGGATCAACCTCCGTTGGAACCACCCGTGGCTGCTCGCGGCTCCGACCTGGCCCGTGCTCTTTGGATAATCTTCCTGGAAAGCATCGTGTTTGGGGGGAGAAAATAGAGCCCACCTGGATGCCCAAACCTGCTGCTTGTCCTGGCTCCCTGGCTTTTGTTTGCTGTCCCCTTGGGCTGTAGTGCCAGCCCTTTTGGCAGGGACTTTCATAATAAGTGTTTTGTGCAAATCGCTTGGAGCTCTGGGCTGTTTCTGGCCTTGAAAGCATTTTTTTTTTCCCAGCATTTAAAGGAAAGGGAGCGAATTGTTAGGAAAATACCGCGGCCGGCCGTGGAGGAGGGGAGCTGCGTTCCCTGCTCTGCTCCAGGATGTCCTGCTGCTGCCGTCGGGGTTTCTCAGCGGAGCAGGGAGAAATCGGTCCCCTCTCGGGGTATTTGGAAGCCAATGGGTTTTCGGAGCGGCCTGGCACCACAAATCCTTGCTCAGGGAGGAACTGAAGCAGTGCCAGCCCTGGCTCAGGATGTCCTGGAAAACCTTGGAGGGTCACTAAGGCAAACATGAGCTAGGCTTTTCTGTCAGCACTTTTTTTTGTGTGTGCTCAAACTAATTTCTAGGGCGTAAAACAATTTTGCAAGGTTGTCTTGCACCGTGGCATTAAAGCATGAGGAAAACATCGAGTAGCTCTTTGGGTACCTAAAAAACCCCTGTACACCAACTGCTTAGTCCTTTTCATAGAATTCCTTATTTATTCATCCCTCCTCTTCCTGGAATTAATTTGGCTGAGGGTGGTTTTCTTGCTAAGGGACCTTGCGGGTGGCGCTCGGCCTCATCTGATGCACCTTGTTCCCCGCTCGCTGTGCAAGCGTCCGCCGGGCACTTAAAAATCCACCTGATGGAGCTTACCTGGGTCTGGTCGCTCCTTGGTAGCTGCTTAAAAAGACTTGAGCAGTTTTACACAGTTTCACAGTCCAGGCTCCTGATGCTGAGAGCTGACAACTGCAGAGAGATCATTCACAGCTCCCACATCCATCACGTAGGCGATCGGGGCTGTCGCAAAGGCAAACGGCTAAAAGTCGCGGGTTTGGTTTTTGGGCAGTGCTTCCGTCTCCCCCATGGGCTTCTGAACAAGCAGGCCTTGGTGCTCACCGTTAAGGCTGTGGTCGAGCTCATTTCTTTGCTTTCTGGGCTGTAGTGTTCTTGGTTTTGTTTTTCCAGAGTGTTTTGTTGCTAGGGTGGTTGTGCTGCAGTGCGTGGCTGAAATACATTTGCAGCCAGTCGCTCTAGCTAAATTAATACTGATAGGAGAAGAAAAACTGGGTGTGTTATTTCCTCAGCAGAAATATTTCTGAACTGATGCAGGCTTTACCAAACTGAAACTAAAACCGATCCCAAGTGTGAGCTATAGGCTAAAACCCCCTGCGAACACCGGCTATTTGAGATAAGCTGCTCTCTGCAAGGCAGGAGATGGGAAGGAGGGTTTGGATCCTCCTGGGATTCGGAAAAGAGATCAGTGTTTTTCAAACATCTGCTGGTGTCTTTGGCCTAAAGAGTCAACAGAATCTCACAGCTCTGCAGTATGGAGAGTTAAAACATTCCTGGTGCCGACAGGGCCGGAGCGGTCGGGAATAACCCTGTTGGGCACAAGGAGCTGGTGCTTGCTGCCAGTCCCTTCCAAATGCACTAGGATTAAGGAACATTCTCGCTCCGTGGAAGCAGAAGACCTTAACGGAAGGGAGTTAGAGTAGGATTTACAGCTTGCTCATGGGTGACGTGTGGCGCTCGGGTGCCGTGAGCCCAACCTCGGAGGGGACATTGGGCTGAGCTGGGGGGTCTCCGTGGCCACCATGAGCAACACGGTGGGTTTATTACCTTGTGCTTCGATGCAAGAGACCTCGATGACCTCAGATTGCCCCCAGACATACTGGGCTTGGCAGGGCTCCTGCATCCGCAGTCCCTCCCCGTTGTGCTATCCCGTTGTTAGACATTGCTCCCTTTGCTCTTCCCAGCAAAGCCACAAGGTGACAGGAAAAAACCCTGGGATGGGGCAGGTGTGGGCTGTTTGAGATCCATACCACGTGGCCAAGGTGAATGAATTTCGTGGTGACTTTCTTCTGCAGTTTATAAAAGATTCATGGCGAGCACATGGACTAAAAAAAGCGCTCCCTGTGTTGTCTCTTTCGGTTTAGTTACCTCAATGACTTGGATAGAATATCCCAGCCGACCTATATCCCGACTCAGCAGGACGTGCTGCGCACCAGAGTCAAGACGACGGGCATCGTGGAGACTCACTTCACCTTCAAGGACCTCTACTTCAAGTGAGTGAAGGGCACCGCTGTCCCGGGCGCTGCAGCGGTTTCTTCAGTGCCTGGGGGCGGCCGGTTCCACCCCTGCGCCGCGAAACCCCCCGTCTGAACCGTCCCTAAACCCGCTCGGTGGCGGCGGCGCTTGCTGCAGCTCCCACTTTGACTTTTATTTGCCTTCTTCTGTTCTTTCCAGCTGCTTTTATGTTGGGATCACGCACACAGGTACTCGCCTGCTTGTTTCCAGGAGCCAAACCCTACTAAAAGGACACTGGCTGGCTTTGGAGTTTTGGATTTCACCCCTTCCTTTGCCGTGGAGGACAGAGTCCTCCCTGGGATGTGCAGGAGTGGCCCAGGCCCTGGGCTGAGCCTGGGACTTGGCCGTCCTCCCTCTCTGCATGCAAAGCCCAGTCCTAAAGGGTTTGGGGATTAAGCCTGGCCTTGGCAGTGTCCTTAAGCGTCACTTGTGGAGCTCCCTCTAACTTATGTAGCAGCTACTAGCACGTGGTTTAGCTCTGCTCCCCTCGAGCTGCTCCTTGGAAAACCCTCTCTGCGGATCCCGAGCGCGCTCCCCACGCAGAGCCTGGAGCCCTGTTTGCTGGGCATGGAGACAGGAAACCAGTGTCCCTGTCCCGGGCCAGTTATCCTTCCCTCTAGCGATGTTTTCAAGCCTTTATTGCTCAAGGCCTTTAAATAAGCATTTGTTTACTTATTTCCAGCTTGTGTTTGAAAATAGTTTGAAACAGATTTTGCCATAGCAAAATTCTGTTTCATTTCAGCGAAATCTGAGTGTTGCTCATCAAACCTCATCTGTTTGCATGCTTTTTGGGGGAGAAGAGTAGCGTTTTGGCTTCTGAAGTGTAACTTGTGAATCGCTTAACCAGAAAACGCTCAAGTGCTTTGCATCAAGGGCTATTTGTAGTGGCTGGTGAGTCTGGGGGAAACTTCTCTTCCATCCTCATGTGCTGGGATTAGTGTTTCCAGCTGCAGTGCTGCTTGAAAAGCATCGTGTCTGACAAATGGAGGGGTGAGCTGGAGGTAACGGGTGTCCTCTGTTTCATCCCTCTTCACCCTTCATTTCAAGCGAAATGATTGCATCCCTCCTAGCAAAGGCTGCCCGGAGGGGCTGAGGGAGGAGTTGAGGAGGGATCTTCCCCGCACAGGGAAGCACCGATGCATCCGAAGCCCTGAAGCTGCCGTCTTACCTGGAGCAGAAGCCTTGATGTTAAATCTCGGGTGTTAAGAACAGGTTGAGGTAGCCTTAATGTCACTGTGACTCCAATTTGGATGAGCAGAGTTGTGCAGGATGCTGTTTCTTTCCAGATGTCTCCGCACGAACAGCGGAGGATAATGGCAAATAATACAAGGGAAGTGACTAGCCTGTAACTTCACATGGATTTTCCTCTTTCCTGCTGCAGTCCGTTGGGATGGTTTGTCTTAACCAGAAGATTGGAGTTAGCTGAGCTGCCCTCCTGGCTCCCTTGCTTGGGATATTAAGTTGAATTACTTGTGACCACGCTGGGAAGTTTCTCTCTTGCCCATCTGCTTTGATAACAAATTGATGTTGATGATTTTCCCAGCTCCTGGATGTTGACTTGTGTCCGACTTAAATCAAGTCACAGCCCATCAGAACTTAGTCAGGAATACTGCTGCTCCTCCACATGCTTCAACTGCAACTTTCCAAGAAGTTTGCTTTAATTTGGGGAAGAGGGGGCAGAAATGCAAGTTTTCTAATTCTTTATGAAGTCTCTACGCTTTCCTTTTTTAATACATAACTGTTGCTTAACCTCATCAGTTCTTCTCTGGATCCTAACAGTAGCGTGCAGGTAGCGTGTTCCGGATAATCCCTTGGCAGGCCCAGATTTAATTACCTGGAAGAGCTGCTGATGAGTAGGTGTTCGGAGTCCAGGCAAGCAAATAGATTGTTGCTAAGGAAATAGGAGCCTGGGAACGAAGGAGAAACGCCCCAGGGAATCAGCAGTCTTTGGGATAGTAACACACGTGAACCTCTAGTTCTTCCTGTTGGAATTGTTCTTAAATATATATATATATGTATATATATATATATAAAATAATAATATAAAGATCTACTCTGAGTCCTTCTGACATGTCAGGTATGAGAATATGAGCATTTGGCCTTGCTGGTGGAAGTCGTGTATCTGTCTCCCCCTGCCCCCTGCTTGTTTGAAAATGTGTGTTGATGAGTGAGGCTTCTCCATGCCCTGGAGCACAGGGTGGTGCTGGGGAGGGGGTCTCCAAAGCCTCTGAGATGCTTCCTCTGCCTCTCCTAGGATGTTTGATGTGGGCGGCCAGCGCTCGGAGAGGAAGAAGTGGATCCACTGCTTCGAGGGGGTGACAGCCATCATCTTCTGCGTGGCCCTCAGCGATTACGACCTCGTCCTGGCCGAGGACGAGGAGATGGTAGGTGCCCGGGGAGCCGCTACAGCCCGGCCGCGTCGCGCTCGGGACGAGCGAGCTGGGAGCCGCTTCAGCCCATCCGCTTGGTCTGTGTCTCAGCACTGACACTTGACTCTGTTGGCTTTTGTAATAAAAAGCAAAACCGGTGCTTCCCCCCCAGGCCACCCTCCCCTAGCAGCTTCAGTGATGCATCTCTGTTCTCCTTTCGCCTTTTAGAACCGGATGCATGAGAGCATGAAACTCTTTGACAGCATCTGTAACAACAAATGGTTTACAGACACGTCAATCATTCTTTTCTTGAACAAGAAGGACCTGTTTGAAGAAAAGATCAAGAAAAGCCCACTAACAATCTGCTATCCAGAGTACACAGGTGAGGCTGGACTGAGGGAACTGCGTTTTTTTGTGTTGCCAGGACCAGAAATGAGTCAGTTAAAGCCTACGCAATCTAAGATAACTTAAAAGCTTGTCTTCCTCCTCGTTTCCTTTAGTTTGGTTTATTTTGGGGCTCTCCAGTTAGCTGATAGTGCCATTTCTCAGCAGGGATGTGCTTTTGCATGTCTGCTGTTCAGAACAGCATTTGTTCCTGTGCTTTGTAGCCTGGAATGTGGATAGCACAGATATTTCATTTGCGATCACTCTGCTTTCTACATCTTATCAGGACCATACTTTAATTAAACTTGATTTTAGATTCTTTTCTAAATTCTTCTAATGTGAGCTGCAGGCTTCTAGCTTGAAGTGTTGCTGGTATATGATGTTCCCACTACACAGCATTCCCTTTTAGATCTCCCAGATGTTTTCCAAGATGCTAATTCCCATCTCCGGGCAGGGAGGCTGCAGTGGGGAGAAGTCGGCGCGTTGCCGTAGCAGATGACTTGTCCAAGGTCACTGTTCAGGCCGGAAGCTGGGAATAGAGTTGAGATTTACCTGAAAGGGTTAATGGTGGATTTGGGTTTGGAGCTGGATAAGGCAGATGGTTGCAAGCAGCTTAATATGTGCTTAAAAGATCTGTGTCAAAACTCTCTGCTGTGAGCCGCTGGCCCAAGTAAGGGATCTAATCTTTTTCAGGCTCCAACACGTACGAGGAAGCGGCTGCATACATCCAGTGTCAGTTTGAAGACCTGAACCGAAGAAAAGACACCAAGGAGATCTACACACACTTCACCTGTGCCACCGACACCAAGAACGTGCAGTTCGTGTTCGACGCCGTCACGGACGTGATCATCAAGAACAACCTGAAGGAATGCGGGCTCTACTGAGGAGGGCCGTGGGAAGGAGGTAAAGCGGAGCCGCGCGGAGCCGGCGCGCCGCGCTGCCGCCCGCCCGCGCTAACGCTCCCCGCTCTCGTTCCAGCTTCGACGCGTGGCGTTGGGAGACCCCCACTCTGCTGCCTCGTGGGGACAGCCGCAAGCATGAACAGGAGCAGGGAAGCGCAAGCAGCATGCGGAATCGTTGCATTCTTTAGCACAATCTTCTGTATTAGGGACCTTTTTTATTGATATGGGATGAAGTTAGATCAAAGTGGAACAACTGTTAGTGTGACTAGATCATCCGGGCGTCGTTTGGATGACGTTGCCCTCGAATGTGTACAGCTGTTGTGAAGTTGAGGTGCTGGATTCCAGGCCTTCAATATGTAGCTTTCTCTCTTTCTTTGGTTAACAGCCCACCACTAGTCTGTTTTTAAGGGTTTTTTTTTCCCATCAAGAAAACTATAACTTTACTAAATTTTATTTCTTTGCAAACAAATCTTGTTTTAAAAATAAAATCAAAAAAATCCAAAAATAAAAATCACTTAACTATGCACATGTGACCAGATCATGCAGAAAGTATTCCTCTTAGAAGGAACTCTTTGTTTTTAACACTTGGTATGGTCAGAATTTAATATTTCTGCAACTACTTAACGGATCCTTAGAGCTCTTATGGTGATAGCTTCGGCTTTTTCTGATGTGTAATTTGTTACCATCCTGCTACAACTACCATGGGCTTCTGCAAGAAGCTTCTGTAGAAGGATTAAAAAAAAAAAAAAAGGTCTTTCTAGCTTGTAGTTGGGGGCGAACATGGTTTATGCTAATATCAAAATTGGGATTTATGCTGGCGTGGTAAGTGGAAAACCAGCTGCTTGGGGAATGTGTACCTGGGCTGGAGAGGTGAAACGCGGAGCTGCAAACTGGATGGAAAATAAGTGCTGCTACAGAGCTACTAACTCAGCCACTTGGATTCCTGTGTGCTTTTTGGTCTAAACCAGTGGGCAATTTTGTAAAGGGTGCACCTCGTTCTGCATTTACCATGGCCTTTTCTGTTCAGAGACTTCTAAACTGTATTGACAGCATGCCTTTACTTTGTATATGTGGTGCCAAATCCCTGTTTGCCATTGTTTTTTACTGTAGTAATGTTCATAACCAGTCAGTACATTCCTTTGCTGAACCATTGCATCAAGACTCTTTTCCCACTTTGTCACGTGTACAGTTTCAATCTGTTATAGTTGTTGGCAGTATTAAAATGGTGAGTAAACAATTTTTAGCCTTTTCCCTAGTTTATTCTTAACTCTTGCAGAAATATCCCCCTCTTTGGGGGGCTCTGCCTGGAGGAAAGGAGGGAGGCAGCGCGGTGGCGAGTGGGTGTCATTAAGGGGACAGGCTCGGGAAGGTCCCTTGTGCTTTACCATATGCTGGCACTGCATGTGCAGCCAGTTCTGCTGCTCCCAAGGATTCGGATGGTGCTGGCACAGATGGAGAACAGCAGCCATCAGTCATTGCCGGGATTATTGGCAGATTTTTTAGCTTGCTGCTTATTAATAGCTCGAGTCTTATTTCATCTTTCCATCTTGATGGAAAAACGACTGCTCGGGGCTGCTGGTGCAGGATGCAAATGTAACCTGTCTTCAAAGATGCTGAGGAAATGCAGCCCTGCAAAAACGATGCAGCTCGGGGATGCTGCTAGGTCTTGTAAACACCCACCCGTCGCCTTTGCAGAATTTCTGGTTGCAGCGGCGCTCGGTAGCGATAAAGAGTGCAGATTTAGTCTGGATTTCTTTTCCCGAGATTCCCTTAAGCTCTAAGTGACAGTTCCCTTTTAGCCAAACCTCGGTGCTCTTCAGCCACACAGTAACGTATGGAAGAGCTCATGTGGCCCCAAAACAAACCTGTGCACAACTCGGACCATGGATCCCTGTATCCATGTGGTGCTTCCCAAGCACGTGTTGGAGCCGAGCTCCAGGCAGCAGTGTTATTCCCACGGAGCTGGGATGATGCTTTGGCTGCTTTCGGCTCCAACGCGGGATCCGAAGCCGTGCCTGGAGCGCCTGGCCCCGGTGCATCCCTCCGGATCCGGCAGCGTGGAAGCCCCCGGCGGCCCCGCTCCGGCTGCACGTGGTCACGGTGGGGGATCCACGCGGGCGCTGACTCTGGAATGCAGCCCAGGGCAAAGAATGTAAAATATTCCTTGATCCCGGGTTTTGGACACAAGGAAGGGGCTGGAATTGGAAGCAGTTGCAGAGAGATGGAAGGGTCAGTAATGATAGACATCCAGCTCATGCATATTTCTTTATTTCCTTTTTTTCTCCTACAATTAGATGAAGCTGTATGTGATTCTCTGCAGTAACCACTGAGAAGATAGAGGACTTCATGTCTACAGGAACAGTACGGGTTTATTTACAAGCAGTAGAGCGCAAATACAGCTGTAAATAGCAGAACGAGAATCTTTCAAATAACCGTTTCCTCTTTGTCTGACCCTGTTCCTCTTCTCTAGGAGTGATAAATTCTCTAGCCCCTATTGCACGTGCTGCTCTTTGCCTGCGGCGGTGGCTCTGCGCCTCGGTGCCGAAGCCCCGCGCGCTCCGGAGCACGGGATCGAGCGCGGCTCCACGGACACCGGGAGAGATGGGCTCCCTATGGAGAGCGGTGGCTACTAGAACTCGTCCCTCAGCTACTTAAGGCTGTTTGGGGGCACAGTTGCAGGGAGCTGCAGTTGTTACCTTTTGTTTTTCCAAGGGATTTTATTTTCCTGAGACGTTTGGGGACTTATTTACATCAGAGGGGATCTTCCCCGGAAGGAATGAGCTTGGTTGGCAGGAGTTGACTTATCTAAGGGGGCTTCGTGCCTGCATCCCCCCTCCCCAAAGCCTCCCCGTTCAGTCCGGCGGCGCTTGGCTGCGGCGGGAGGAACCGGCTCTGCCCCGTTGGGAAGAGCTGGGGAGGGAGAGGCAGCGGCTCCGTGCGGAAGGGGGACGGATCCGGCGCTCTCCCGGCTGCTGGAGCAGGGCCGGCCTTCTCCTCGGGGCGGCAAATCCCTCCAGAGCCCTCCTAGAAACGCTGGGATGTCGAGCGGAGCGGAAGGTTTTCTTTCTTTCTACTTTTTTCTTTTAAAAAAAGGAAAGGGCCATGAAAGAGCAGGAAGTTCAGCTGCAGCCCCTTCCTATTGCGGTCTTGCAAGTCTGTGGCTTGGTGGGGCTGCTCTTAGAAAAAGTGGGGTCCAAGTAACTTCTTTTTTTTTCTTCTTTTTTGCTTAATCCTTTTGGTTCTGCTCAGCAGAATGGTGATGCTGAATAGAAGTGGTTGTCTCTTCTAGCAGGAAGGAAGAAGGAAGAGGTGGTTAAACGCTCGCGGGCACCGCGGCCGAGGCGAGGGCTATTGCAGCGCGGCTGCGAATCGGCATCGCCCGAGAATAGGCCGAGCCAGGCAGGAGCCTGCGGGGAGGGCCGGCAGCGCGAGGAAACCTGCCCTTCCCAAGCTGCCCGCCCTCTGCCTTGCCCTGGAATTTGTTTTTCTCCTCTCTGCTCCCTGCGGGCGCTCACTTGGCTCCTTGGGAAAAAAAACAGCAGAGCCAGGAGCTGCTTTGAAAGCAAGAGGGGAGAGAAATCCCCTGGTGCCCCCTCACCGCGCGCCACTAAGCCGGCGGCGGCGGCGACCCGCCTGGCACCGCTCGGCCCCCGCGGGCTGCGGCGTTTGGCCTCCGGCCTCTCGTTATCACAGGGGTGCCAGCAGGGAAGGGCTTCTGGGCTTGCTTCGGAATGGCCACCGGGAGCCGGAGCGAGCGGCCGCGCGAGCGCCCTGCCAGCCCCGCTGGCCACGGCCCGGGGACCCCCTGTGACACCAAGGGGACTCTGATGGCCCCTGGCAGCCCAACTGCAGAGCTGGGGCTGGCTCTGCTGCTCTGTCCCCCCTCACCCCCTTCTCCCACTTCATTTTGGGGCTAAAAGAGCTGTTTCTAATCAAAACTCGGAGGGTACCTGCCGCGCGGGGCTCAGAAGAGACCGCAGTCCTTGAGGTTCTCTTTGATGATGACATCCGTGACGGCGTCGAAGACGAACTTGACGTTCTGCGTGTCTGTGGCACAGGTCATGTGGCTGTAGATTTCCTTGACGTCTTTCCGCATGTTCAGGTCCAGGAACTGGGTCTTGATGTAATTTCCAGCGTCTTCGAACGTGTTGGGACCTGGCGCGGGCAGAAAGGAGCAGGCTGGGAAGATGCTCTGCTTGGGAAGGCCACCCTGCTGCCGCCTGTCCCACCCGGGGTCCCCAAGCCCCTCTCCCCGCTTGCTTTTACGCATTAAATCTCTGAAATCTTCCTCCTAGGAGGAAGAGGGGAGCTGAGGATGGCAGCTACTGAAGCCCCCTGCTCCGTAGCAGAGAAAATTGGGGGGAAGAAAGCTCCTCACCGTCGTAATCGGGGAAGCAGATGCTAAGGTGGACTTTCTTGATCTTCTCCTCAAAAAGGTCCTTCTTGTTGAGGAAGAGGATGATGGAGGTGGCGGCGAAGAACTTGTGGTTGCATATGCTGTTGAAGAGGTGCAGGGACTCGTGCATGCGGTTCTGCAAGCAAACGCACGCGTCGGAGCGGCTCTCCCGCCTCGGCCCCGCGGGCCCGGCCCCGCCACCTACCACCTCGTCG